ACTCATCTGTGAAACATTTAGAGATTGAAAGAGATAAGCTTGTTATTTTTGTGTGATGTGTGCTAAAGTTAGAATCTTGCAATCCTTGCAAATAAATCCTTGCAATTTCGTTTTTACATCTGTCCATTATATTGGGTCTATAGTATTAGGGACCTATATTACATTTGCACAAATAGGACAGAGATGAATTAAGTGATCTTCCCAGATGTCGTGACCTGAGTAAGGATGAATATTACCCAAGGTGTTTCCAGTTCTCCTGTTCCAGGGCAGTGGCTCTCCACCAGGGGTGATCATGTATCCAGGAGACATTGGTGATGTCTGGAGAAATTTTGGGTTGTTAAACTGGGGAGTTGGAGTTGCACTTGGTAGGCTGAAGTCAGGGATGGCACTCAGCATCCTGCAAAGTAATAAAACATAGTAGTATCTAGCTCCAAGGTCAACAGTGGGTCATTTGAAAAATACTTTTCCAGACCAGAACTTTTCCAATATCACTCAGGGATCTGGATTGAACGTAGATTATGGTTTGTGTGGTCAGGGTGGCAGAAATTGAACATTTGTAACCAATGCCCTGTTAATATTGATCACCTTTTTTAAAAGATAAAATTGTATTCATTATGACATAAATGATATGGTTTTGATGTGGTTATGTATGTTGGAATGAATAAATACAGCTTATTAACATACACATTACTTCACATAGTTACCATTTTTTGTGGTAAGAACACTCAATATTCACTCTTGGTATTTTTCAAGATTCAACATATTTTTACCTGTGCTTACCATGGTGTGCAGTAGTAATCTCTCCTCATTTATCCCTCCTATCTAAATATTGTATTCTCAACCAACATCTTTGCAAACTTCCTTTCCCAAATCCACCCAACCCTCCTAACTACTAGTCTAACCTTCAGTTCTATGGAATCAAATATTTTAGATTCTGAAAAATCCAATGGACCAAAACTGTAATCTTAATGACTAGAAAAGTTGAGAAGTAGGATTATAAGTTTGACGCCAGCCTCAGCAATTTAGTGAGGACCTAAGCAACTTAGTGAAATCATGTCTAAAAAGAAAAAAAAAAAACAAAAACAAAAAGGGCTGGGGATGAGGCTCAGTGGTAAAACACCGGTGTGTTCAATCTAATACCTCCCCTGCCAAAAAAAAAAAAATAGATTCTGCATAGTGAGGTCATATGGCAATTGTCTTCCTGTATCTTCCTAATTTCATGTAACAAAATAAGTTCCATGTATTTTGTTGAATGTGACAGGATTTTATCCATTTTAATGGCTGGATCATATTCCATTGTTTATGTGTGCCAAATTTGCTTTATTCATTCATCTGTTGAAAGACACTTAGGTAGAATCCAGATCTTGCTTTTTTTAAATAATGCTACAATGAATATGGAAGTACTAATATCTCTTTGAAGTACTAATTTCATTTGCTTTGGATGACTACTCAGTGGTGGGAATGCCAGATCACATGGTGGTTCCATTATTGACCACTGAGGCTGTTGTCCAGCATCAGAGTTAAGCACAGGCATTTCGAGGCCTTCTCCACCATGAAGGCCTCCATCAGCTCTGTTCTGATCTTAGGTGGTCAGATGTGGTCTCAGCTCAGCTTCTGCCTAGACAAGTTGACACTGGCATATTCTATATGTCCTCCATAACAGGAAATCAAATGTACAGACCTTGGCTCCTTGTATACAAACTGGGTAGATACACCCTTCTTCATGGAGTTTCTATGTGAACTAAGCCGTAGGTTGCAGCTTACAGGAAATGACCTTCCCAGAGCAGATGCTCCACAGATAGCTGCCATTGTGACCATCACCTTGGTCCTCATTGGCTCAGGTCACTGTGACATCACAAGGGTTTCCTGGCACAGGAAGTGAGTCTTTCATTGAGCTGCTTCAAGGAGACAGGGAGTGCTGGTGGAGCGGACCCAGGCAGGCAGCTCAGAGCCTGAATGCACCACCCTGTGTTGTGTTGGACTCATGGGAACTGTCTCTGACCCAGTCGTAATGGCACCAAATAGGCCCAGTAAGGGTTTTCAATCTCTTCTAAGTTGCTTCACTATGTTTCGCTTTTGGGAAGATCTGCAAAGCCAATGTCTCTAGTTGTGTCAAATGATTTCTCGCCTCCTCCTCCTCCTCCTTCTTGCAAATCTAGATCATATGACTCACAAATTTTGATGTCATCAGAAATGTCTTATCTTTTCTCTTTTTGCCCTGAGAGCATTTGTTTTATGCCTCACAATTGCTTATTGCTCCTGGTTTCTCTAGGAATAGTGTGTCACTCCACCTAACTGCTTTGGGCCTGGACAGAGTCTCATCTAATCCAACCGAATGTCCCCAGAGAGCCTCTAGACTCTGATGAGTGGATGATTAAATTTGGGTGCCACCTTGACTAGTTTGAGGGATGTTGAGGGTTGGTAAATCCCTTCCAATTGTGTCTGGAAGGCTCTTTCCAGAACGGAGTGTTGTGGCGTCTGCAAACTGAGTGGGAAAGATCTTCCCTGAATATGAGCCACACTATGTAAATGTCTGAGGCCAGGATGGGACAGGAAAGTGGAAGAAGGGGGAGACTCTCTCTGTTCTTCCTCTGGGAACAGGGCTGGTTCTCTCCCGCTTCTTCTGTCAAACATCAGTCTTTAGTTTCTTCAGTATTTGGTATGTGGGACTCACACCAGAATCTTCTGAAGCTCTTGGGCTTTGAGCCTTAAGGATGGGGGATAAACTATTGTTCTGTCTGGTTCTGAGAGTTCCAGCCTTTTGTACTGATTAACCTGATTTGCTCCTCTGGTCTCCAGCTTGCAGAGGACATTTAGAAATACCCATGCTCTGGAATTGTGTGAGTCAATCCTGTCTCTATAGTCATATGTCTATCTTGGCCATATGTCCATCCATCTACCCTCTGTCAGTATGCTGGTTTGGTTTCTCTGGAGAACCCTGACTGATACACGTGAAATACATTAATTTAAAGAATCTGGGTAGACACGCCTGCAGAGGTATCGTGAGAGTCTGAACCTTTCACCCTCCACCCTCCCTCTACCCTCCACCCTCCATCTTCCACCCTCTACCCTCCACCCTTCACTCTCCACCCTCTACCCTATTCATCCACTTGATGAGCATGGTGCTATTTTTTTAAAATTATTTTTTAGGTGTAGTTGGACAAAATGCCTTTTTTATTTACTAATTTTTATGTGGTGATGAGGATCGAACCCAGGGCCTCACACATGCCAGATGAGCAGTCTACCACTGAGCCACAACTCCAGCCCAAGCATGGTGTTATTTTAAGCCATTTGGCTTTAGGATGACTTTACCATTGCAATAGCTACCTAATACAATGATCCAAGGGAAAAAGGACTTGCTACTTTCAATTGTAACTTTTGTTCTGACACTTGATGACATCATTCATAATTAATCTGTTATGTAAGTTGGTTTCACACCCTGTATTAAAAAGTGCCTCCAATGAGGTTCCAGCTGATTAAGAGATGTGGAGGACATGTGCCTTTGAATGGGAATATGGTTGACTCTTAATGACATGACTGGGCTGGAGTTCAGGCTCTCGTGTGCAAAAGATCATTAAGGTCAAATTGATTCCTGTGGGTAAAGGGGATGATATGGGATGACATTATTCATTCACGGCCCCCAGAGTGGTTATGATAAAACTTAGAAAATGGGAAGCCCCTTGGTGCAACAGGAAGAGTGGTATTTGTAGACAGTGTTAGAGGATTCTAAGTAGCAACAGGAAGATAATTCAATGAAACAGAGTGAAGTCCATCAACCCCTCCAGAAACCCAATGCATAAACCCTCCCACACATGGAAGAAAACCTCCCACCCTTCAATGAGTGGAGCCAGAACATGCCAAGAAATATTTTCCATGGCAATAAAATTTACTTCATTTAAAATTATGCCTTATCATATTTAAGTTATTCCCTGACACTCAGGCCATACCGAATCAATCTGTTTGTCCAGTTTGTCTCTCCACATAGACTACTTGGAAGCATATCAGATAATATTTTTCCAGATGGCAGACAGTGTGTGGAGCTGAATAGAGAACAGGATCCTAAATGGGAACACCACCCAGTGACCAGTTAGAGAGCAGCCTGGTGTGTTGATGTCCCAGGAAGAACAGTGAAGATCGTGATGTGGGAAACAGGGATGGGAGCCAGGACGCAGCTCCCAGTGGAGCGGATGTTTAGCCTGCACAAGGCCTTGGGCTGCAGGGGAAAAGGAAGAGAGGAAGGAAGGAAAAGGAAAAGAAGGAAGAAAGAAGGAACAGAAAAGAATGACGTGAGCACAATGAGAAGCTGAGGTCTCAGAGTTCATATGCTATTCAATGGAGGGTGCGAACAGCTCTCGTTTCTAAGTGGAGTGTTTCACTGATGTCATAAGACTCACAGGCATTATTTTAGGAAAAGGACACGAAAAACTATGTTTTGTGCTGTTATTTGAAAATAATTTATTCTTAAGGGCTGGGGACCTCGCTCAGTGATGGTGAGTGCTTGCCTGCTGTGCATGAGGCCTGGGTTCCACTCCCAGCACTAGGTGAAAAAGAGAAAAGAAGGAAAAAGAAAAAGAAAGAATCCCATTAACATCCATCCCCAAGAATGAGATCCTAATTAGATTCATATGTATTCCATGTTGGTGTAATTATATCAAAATGGATTCTTCTGTCATGTGTAACCAGAGAGAGAGAGAGAGAGAGAGAGAAAATTATTCCTCAAGGTCATGTTGTCCCAAGATATGATATGAGTGGGAATTTCCAAATGCCTTCAACTGAAGGGTGGGAAGAGGTTTGGGAAAGTAGGAAGTGACCAAGGAAAACGAATTTGAGAGACCACAAAATATAGAAAACCTAGTATAACAGTTACTTTAATTGTATAGGGAAATTGATTCCAAAGTAATGGAGATTACAATAAAAGGATCAGCATTTTATTATACCGTCTTGTTAAAGAATAATGGTTTTCTGCTCCAAAACTTGGAGCCTTGAACTCACAGGTGACTCTACTGGGGTGGACCAACTGGTCCCTTTCCAGGTGTCCCCCAAAGGAGTCTTCTCAGAGCGCTCTTGATGTCCTTGTTCCTCAGACTGTAGATGAAGGGGTTCAGCATGGGGGTGACTACACTGTACATCACTGAGGCTGTTGCAGTAGAGTGTGAGTTTGGGGTCACAGCAGAACTGAGGTACACACCTAGGCTTGTTCCATAAAACAAGGAGACCACAGAGAGGTGGGACGCACAGGTGGAGAAGGCTTTGTACTTGCCCTGAGCTGATGAGATTGCACGGATGGAGGACACTATCCTGGAGTAAGAGTAAAGGATGCCAGTGAGGGGGACACCACCCAGCAAGACAACAGCAAAATATAACACCACCTCATTGAGAAAGGTGTCATTTCAGGCACGCTGAAACACCTGGTTAAGTTCACAGGAAAAGTTGGGGATTTCCAAGTTTGAACAAAAGGACAACCGCAACACCATCAAGCTGTGTAATAAGGAATTCAGGGCACTCGTGATCCAGGTTGCCAGTGCCAGCAAGCTACACAGGAATGGGTTCAGGATAACCATGTAGTGCAGGGGGTGACAGATGGCCACATATCGGTCATAGGCCATTACGGCCAGGAGGAAGTTGTCCAACACTATAAATAATGTAAAAAAATAAATCTGTATGATGCAGCCTTCATATCTTATGGTCTTGCTCTGTGTCTGGATGTTCACCAGCATCTTGGGGATGGTGCTGGAGGTGAAGCAGACGTCCACAAAGGACAAGTTGGAGAGGAAGAAGTACATGGGTGTGTGCAGGTGGGAGTCTGAGATGGTGGCCAGGATGATGAGCAGGTTCCCCAGCACAGTGATCACATACATGGAGAGAAACAGCCCAAAGATGAGGGGCTGCAGTTCTGGGTCCTCTGAAATTCCCTGGAGAAGAAATTCTGAAATTTTTGTGTCATTTTTTGATTCCATGTGCTGTATGTAACTACTAAAAAAGAGAAAAATGTCATGACAAATTTTTGTACCCGGTCCTCCACAAGACATTCCATGTGCCATCTCTGAATCAGAATTCAAGTCTCTCTCTTGAAGGATTTATAAATACTACATATTCAATCATTTTAGTAAGCATTTTTCATGACCTGCAGGAATGCACACAGATATCCCCCATATTCCTGGTGCTGTCTATCCAATGTGGATGGTTGCTGAAATATGAATATACCTATGATTCAGTAATGCCGAAAGAAGTAGATAAATCATTTTTGACATTGCAGATAGATTATTTTAAATGTTTCACCATAAAGGAATGCTACATGTTTTTGGAGAATTATTTGAACATTATAAAACACCTACTTATATTAAGACCTCACAAGGCACACCACACGTGTGCACAATTTTCACATATCATTTAAAAATGAAAAATAAATGATCCTATAATATATCAGATGGTTATAATTGCAATGAAGAAAACATGGGCAAGTAAAAGGGAGAGTAGATGAAGTGCTGTTTTTATAGGGGTCCTGGCCAGACAAGGTGGTATTTGAACACAGACCTCAAACAGTAGCAGGGAAGCCCCAAGGTTAACTGCAGAAGCAAGTGTCTGGCAGAAGAGGTGAGCAGCACAAAGGCCCTGAGGCCGATGCTTGCTGCACATGTCAGTATTCACAAGGGAGCCACTGGCAGTCAGAATGACCAAGAGGCAGATGGAGGAGAGGTTGTCTCTAAGGATGGTGAGGAAGGTGGACTCCCTAAGACGGTTGAAATTTGAAGACTGTCAAAATGCACAGGGTCACTTGCCACATATTGTCCCTTGTACTTTTGTTTTAACCTGCTTTATTGTAGTGTAGTTCCATTGTATACATATATGACATATGCAACCTGATGAGTGCAGACATACGCAAATCCTGGTGGTCCCATAGCCACAATGAAAGTCAGAGACACATTCCTCTCCTCCCATGGCATGCCTTTGTTTTTCTGTTTCATCTGAGGTTAGAATACTGAACATGAGATATGTCCTCATAGCAAATTGTCAAATGCATAATATCACATTCTAGCCCTAGGCACTAAGTTGCATAGCAGAGGTCTGGACATTAGACATCTTACATAACTGTCACTTGACATCTGTAATCCCCTACCCATGCTTTCCTCTCCTTCCCTGCCTGGACACCACTGTTCTGCTTCAAGCATCAGAGTTTGACATTATTAGAAATCTCAGGTACATGCGAGGATGCATAATTTTGATTTCAGAGTTATCCCAGGGGTCCAGGTGGATTTCTCTTTGTTTGTTAGCTTTAGGGCACAATACGACAAGATGAGGATAATATAAGAAAAATTACATACCATGACAGAGTATAATTTAAATTTATTTACTACCCACTTTATTATTTTATAAAACACTAGATAATTTATTTTGTAAAACTCTAGATAATAGAGTTTCAGGGTAAAGGGATATGTGAATCTGGTAGTTTTTAATTTTATTGATTTATTTATTTGGAGGTGCTGGGGCCTAACCCTGGGACTCATGTACACTAGCCAAATCCCTTCTCACTGAGCCACATTGCCAGCTGTATCTGCTGGTTTTCAATGCATATTTCAGGGTGGCTATTCAGGAAGTTGGTGCTGTGTAAAGATGACAACTCTACACGAAGGTGCCCCTTTCTTCAAACTCTTGCCAAAAATAAACACATATGTTTTAGTTTTGCCATAATTTTGGTATCATGACTCTGATGATGAATCGTGATTGAACTATTATCAAAACTCCCTTTATGAGTTCTTACCATGCACATGGGTTAGAGGCACCATGGGCATTGACTCACTGATTTCTGACAGGAATCTCATGATGCTTATTTTTTACACAGAATTCCTTTGTATAAAAGGGGATGTCCATAAATATAATGAAGCTTCTAGGTATAAAACTTATTTATGAGAAAGACAAAGGCAATCTTTGGCTGAATGCAAAAGAATATGTGTCACAAGAGGGCAGAAGATGATGGCTACTTTAAAAAGAGAAACAATCCCCAAAAGCAAAATAAGAGAAAATAGATCTGCCATAGGATGACAAATGGTATCCACAGGACACCAATTAAAAAAAAAAAAAAGAAAATCGTAAATGGATCCAAGAGGAATCAGTGGAGTGGGGGCAGGGTGGGGACAGCACTGGGGACTGAATTGGGGCAGTAGTATTCCACACTTTGTGATATTTTCAAAGTGTATCCTGGTGTTGTATATAACTGAAAAGAATAGATTAAAAAATCAGCAAAAGAAAAAGTTATAAATTGCAATTGACTACTACTAACCATGGTTATAAATGGCAATTGACTACTACTAACCATTTCTCATGGTTTTATACCAAATGAACATGGTTCTCTCCCTTGAAGAGGGGATAGAAAATTTCTGAAGTTACCAGGAGCTGTAAGTTACCCCTCTACAATGCAGGGCTTTTGAGTTCCAATGAATAGGAACCTCAGACTGTGGTCTTTTAATTTGGGTAGTAACTCTGGGAAGGAACTACCCAAATTAAAAAAAAATCAATTGGATATTTAGGTCTGCAATATGAAAGAAACATATTTGTCCACAAAATTTCTAAATTTTGACTTATACCCTCTGTCACATATATTTATGAATTTATAGAAACAGTAAACTTAGGAGGAAAAAGAAATCTCCAACTCATTTTATTCTGAAAAAAATGAAATCACAAAATATACACTAAGATCTGATAAAAATAATAAACTTGCATAAGCAATTTGGAACTGAAAAGAGTAATAATATAAACTTTATTCAGTCTCAGCAATAATGAAAGCATTGTAGCAAAATGTAGTATAGTTTTCCCTTTGACCTATCAAATAAAATTCATTTTGGTTATGTGAATACCCAGCCCAAGAGAAAAGACTGTGAAATGCCTGTCTCACAAGCTGTTGTTGCAAGGTTAATATTGGTAAGCAACCCAGTAGTCTGATCCTGTAATGAATAAAGAAACAGGATCAAATACACTTCACAATAAAAAGATTTTCCTGCACGTCTCTCCAAACCGAATACTCAATTTTCTAATTCCCTAGTTGCAAAACTCTTTGGATATGTTTCAATTTTATGTGAGATTGTTTATACCACTTCTTCATTCAGTCTCATCCAGTTAGCTTTCCATCATTGAATCGTCGAAAATGATCTATGCATGCATTACAGAGTCTAAAAATTACCAATTAGGTAAGGAAACAAACACAGTAACTCTGTGCTGTGGGCTGGGCTGGGTTGGTTCTCCGGTGACCTCCCATAAATTTGTTGGCTTCCATTCTCACTGAGTCTTGCCTAGAGAACCTGCTGGGGTCTTAGACTTACCTGGATGGGGCCTCTGGGAAGAAAGTCTCCATGTGGAAGTCTGAATTCTGGTCTGGATGGCTAGTGATTAAAAACCAAGCTCTGTCCCCAGACAAGACAGGAGGAAGGAGTAAAGCACTGGTTTACTCTCTGTGGGATATCATCCAAGCATCTATTTATAGGTCTCTGTCCTGCTCATCAGGTACATTTCTTCTTGTTATTCCATTCCCTGAGCACCTGACTTCCCTGTGGACTTTTTTCTTCACAGAAAGGAAAAATTTCCCTGCTCATTCCATGTTCCCAAGAGACCAGGTAAGAAATTATGGTGAATTTTGACTTCATAACTCTTTCTCTGAGAAGCCTCCTACCATCTGTAAATCTAACCTTCTTAGCATTTCTGCCATTTCTTAGTTACAAAATCTTCCACAGTCTGAGGTTCTCCATTCATTGGAACTCCAAAGCCCTGCTTTGTAGAGGGGTAACTTACAGCTCCTGGTAACTTCAGAAATTTTCCATCCCCTCTTCAAGGGAGAGAACCAAGTTCACTTGGTATAAAACCATGATAAATGGCTACAACTCTTGACTTCATCATGCTTTGGGCAAAGCAGTTATGATATTCATGTTTGGAACACAAATTAAGCATTGTCATTAACTCATCTGTGAAACATTTAGAGATTGAAAGAGATAAGCTTGTTATTTTTGTGTGATGTGTGCTAAAGTTAGAATCTTGCAATCCTTGCAAATAAATCCTTGCAATTTCACCATTATCTGAGGTGTATAGTATGAGGGACCTATCTTACATTTGTACAAACATGACAGAGAGGAATTAAGTGATCTTCCCACATGTTGTGAAGTGAATAAGGATGAATATTACCCAAGGTGTTCCCAGTTCTCCTGTTCCAGGGCAGTGGCTCTCCACCAGGGGTGATCGTGTATCCAGGAGACATTGGTGATGTCTAGAGAAATTTGTGGTTGTTAAACTGGGGAGTTGGTGCTGCATCTGGTAGGCTGAAGTCAGGGATGGCACTCATCATTATGCAAAGTAGTAGTATTTAGCTCCAAGGTCAACAGTGGGGCATTTGAAAAATACTTTTCCAGACTTGAACTTCTCCAATATCACTCGGGGATATGGTTTCAATGTAGATTATGGTTTGGATAGTCAGGGTGACAGAAATTGAACATTTGTAACCAATGCCCTGTTAATTGGATCACCTTTCTTAAATAGATAAAATTGTATTCATTATGACAGAAATGATAATGTTTTGATGTGGTTATGTATATTGGAATGAATAAATATAGCTCATTAACATACACATTACTTCATATAGTTACCATTTTTGTGGTAAGGACACTCAATATTCACTCTTGTTACTTTTCAAGATTCAACATATTGTTACCTGTGCTTAACATGGTGTGCAGTAGTAGATCTCTCCTCATCTATCCCTCCTAACTAAATATTGTATCCTTCAACCAACATCTTTGCAAATTTCCCTTCCCAAATCCACCCAACCATCCTCACTACTATTCTAACGTTCAGTTCTATGGAATCAAATATTTTAGATTCT